TGTTCCGAGTCAGGTCTGTGCATGTTCCCAAAGAAAGTAAGACGGAACATTGAACCTGATAATGTCAGGAAGAAATGGTTGCCAATAAGAGTAGCGTTGCAAACTATGCATTTTTATTTCTGATTGATCAATGAAGGACTTTTGCTTTGAAGAAGAAAAGTGAAACTTCCAGGCTTGTTGTAAATAACATGAATAATTGTGGACGAATTCTAATCCGAGCGTAAGTAATTTGTGCTAATTTCCTATCGAGAACGCCGTATACAATAATTTTTATCATTATATAAAACAGAAATAAAACTTAAGATATTTCATGTAAGAGGGTAAAGTTCCACTTTCCCCATTTCTGATCCGACCGCGGGGTAATTCGTTTGGGATATATAATTTACGCTCCTGCCGTCAATGTCAGAATTCGAAGGTTAGGGAGTGCATTCTCGACCCATTTACCTAGATAAAAGATTTCCATTTTTTTGCTTTTCTTTCTTTTCTTTTCTTTTTTTTTTTTTTTTTTTTTTTTCTCTCTCTCTCTCTCTTCGGAGAATCGGAGGAACTTAATAGCTGATGCGACACGAAACAAACGAAGCTTTGGCCATTTGAAAGAAGTTGTTTCGTTCAACCAAAACACTGAACTCCAATTTAACCTTCTATCAGATATGTATTGCTTGAAAATTACATCACAAAATTATTTAAGAAACTTAACACATTTTCAATCAATATAGTCAGAAAAAAGAATGAGTTTTAGAAATTATTATTAAACAGCTAATTTTGGTGTTAGAGGCGAGTACAGCTTAATTATTTAACTTTCACGTCTCTTGCAGTTACGATACGTTATTTTACCCTACTTGGACATTTATCATTCACGCCTTCGGCAGATGTTTCTGTTGACCAGATATAAGATCCTTCGAAAGGCATAGACTCCTCAGTTTAGCTTTCAGATTAAAAATATACATTGTTTAACTAACTGAGAGATGTAAAAACTAAAGCTCGCGCTTCGCAAAAAATTGTATATATTCTTTCTTTTATATTAGAACTTTGTAGTGAGATCGAATTCATGATTTTTTAAGTATTAAATTAATTTAATTTGGATAGTAAGAAAATAGCGAAAATTTCGTAATAATATAATATTATATAGTGTTAAGTGGCAAAATATTATAAATTGTACTAAAAGAAGAACGAAAGTTTAATTTTTATGAAGTATGTATATTATTTTTGAATTGTTGAGTTTGCAATAATCAATGCTGTATTAAAAGTAGAAAATGAATTAAAAAATCTTATATAACGTAGAATGACAACACCTGAGGAGTGGTAAAACGAAACGAGTGGATGCTGATCTGATAGTATTTCAGATTGCAAGTCTAACACTTTGAAAAATTTACAGTTACATTTTCAAAAAGGTCACTACGGAAATAAATAATAAAATAAAATAAATGAAGGAATACAAAGTAAGAAATATAAAAATGATTGAATTTTAGAAGACCTTCAATTATACGATTTTTCAAAAGTAAACATACTGCAGTTTGACATCTGAAGAAGTTATAAGAAATTGTGTTTAGCTTAATAGTTTAAAAATAGGCGATATAAAGAACCGAATAAAACCTTTAAATCCAGCTATTCAAAATAGCTATGTCAAATGGTAAGGAAAATATTTTTCTGTAATATTATTTCACCATAAAATAATGCCACATAGACATCTGTGTATTTATTTAATTAAAAATCCTCCAGTTCTACTGGACAAATTGACAAAATTTAACTTGCTTTTTTCATGTCTCGAAAACGTGACTTAGGGTATAATTAGATTTATCTATAGCTTTGCTCTAACGTATTTTAACACAAAATCGGACTTTTCCTGAAATAGCATACTTATATTTAATCCGTATTTAAACTATACGATTAAAATTATGCCTTGAATTTTGTAAAACGTGGTGAAAAATTTACCAAGAAATTCAAAAGTTTATCTTGGCCTACTTTTTTAAATTTGCTCCAAGAATAATTCACTTGGCGAAATCCTTAATTTATAGTAATCTATTTTCTTTTCTATTTTTTCACTGTGCACGAACGGAAAGAAAGGCGCATCGTTAATTCTTTCAAATAAATTTCAAATAATTTTAACAAAGGGAGTAAACCATATTTGGCGTTATTATCGCTTATAACAAATATGTCAAATTTCAAATCCCGCCAGTGCATAAATTTATGTAGATCTTGGGCAATTTTGAATAAAATAATCTAATTTTTTGCAGGTATGTCTAGAAATATATCTACTTTAAAGCGATGTTAAAAATTTTATACGCTAAAATTCAAAAATGTTTTCGAAACATTTTAAAAAATAAATTAAAAATACAAATTTTTAAAATGTAACAAATTTAATAGCTGCAAATTTGATTTGGATTGAACCCAAATTTCGAACTGTAAAAGAAGGAATCGAGATTTAATAAAAAAAAGGGATATTAATAAATATATACGAAATTCATTTAACACTGAGTAGGTAATATTTTGAGAGCTATTTTTTAAAAATCTACTCGTGCGATTTTTACAAAATTTGGCAGTTGGCATGATTAGAATCATAGAAGCGAAATATGAAAAACAAATAGGTATGCCATTTTGGAAAAAAGTCGATTTTGTGTCCGAGTACTATGTTAGAACAGCGCTATATATAAATCCTATATATATCATTATGCCGCGCTTTCGAGACATGAAAAACGCAACTTAAATTTCAAGAATCGGCTCAATAAAACGGAAGATGTAGAACTGTCCTCCCCATTTCTGTGCATAATCGACAGTAATAATCCCAATCAGAGTAGTACAGAGCACGATTTATTTCCATGCAAAAAAAGTTTTCATGTCATAGAGCTAGTTTTTTAGAATACCGCTGTCAGAATAAACTTTTCAATCTCTTTTTCAATGTTATTTTTATCGTGATTGTTACAACTGATGTGATTCAATACTTTTTATAGGAATAAATTTCAACTTAACACTTAGCGCCTCCAAAAAATATCTTGAAATTTACTGCACTCGGTTGTGCGTTTTTATTCTTCTCTCAATCTTTCTCTCTCTCTTTTATTTATTTATTTATTTATTTTGTGTGTGTGTGTGTGTGTCTGATCGTTATGGTCTTTCAGACCACATTGTATTCGTGATGCTGTTTGAATCACTTCATTAATTGATATGATTATTATGGTGTTTATAGGATATAAAATAATTTGAATATTTAAACTTCGTAGAGGAAAGGATGTAATTAAAATTGGAAAATGTGCTAATTCTAATATTTCCGTAAACTGCCTGAATTTTGATCTTTTTGTTATAGTTAAAATTTGATGAGTAAATTCCCAGGCTGTATATCCAGAGTGTTTTATACCTCTGACAAAAGCAGCAGATCCGTAGAAGGGAATACCTTTGCAAGAAGAAAGCAATGGATACTGATTACCTGCAACGTTACGTGTTTTGTGAAAATGGGAATGGAATAACTCGGAATACTGCCAAAAGTCTAACATCAGATATTTTTCAAAATTCTTACCTGTGAAAGAAAGAAAGAAAACTATTTAACAAAAATATTACATGTGGTCTTAATGCAATATTTATGTGAAGATCATTCAATTTAAATAAATGCAAAAATATTTTTTGATGTTTTATTCAAATCTAATTCATAAAATGTTTCTTAAAATTATATTTGAGATATTTAATTAATGTTAAGAATTACGATGCATAAAGATATAATAAAAAGCAAAAATAGTTTACATAAAAATGAAAAGAAACATTTCGTAGATATTTTATTTCATAATAATTCCCGAAAATGATCCTTGAAATGTAACCAAGTGGTTTACATGAACATTAATAGAGACATAAAAGTTACGTTTTATTTATAAATTAGTGATATTAATATCTATGTATGCCTTTATAGAAACAGGTAAATTTCCTGCACAGATTTATGAAACTGTATCACTTCTCTTTTCAAGTTAGTGTTTATCTTTTTTACAGCTTCATGAGAACTATCATTCAGTTACACTCTTTCTGACATTTATTTAAGCATTTTATTAAGAGTAGAACATTCGAGTCTTCGGAAAAATCATGAAAAATGCGTAGACATTCGAAACCTCAGATCATCGTGTGTTTTCGTCATTCGAATTTATTGAATCCTTACCTAGACAGTCGTTAAACATTTTAGCTAAAAACATTCAAAAGATCAGTTTTCTGATATACAATAATATAGTCCTTTTAAAAACGAATGCGAATGTTGTCCTTTCACTAGTACCTCGATTACAGTATTATCTCATACAACCCCAGGGGTCCCCCTGCTGGTAAGCTTTTAAAACTCTTAAAAGTATACAATGTATTGATTTTTCGAACTTTTCTGTACAGAAATTAAAGTTTCTATTTATTTACGTTAATGCTCGAATGCTAATATTTCCCCTCTAAATTTCCTTTGTTTTAAAAGGTTTCTTTTGGCAAATTATATTGAGAAAAGACAATTAAGATTCAATATTTTTAATTATGTTAGTTTATTTCCTAAACTTGATTCTCATTTCTAATTAAACACAGATGTATTTTTAAAAGCAAAGTTATTAAATTGCCTTTTATTCCCATACAGATGTATATTTCATATACTGTTTTTATTTTAATACTAAAATCTTTTAATACTAAATAAGGACGTTTTTGCCATTATTTTTTTGTGTGAAAGATTTGAGAATTCATATTTGAGAAATTTTAAAACTCTAAATCTTTACATTTATTTTTGATAATATAAAAATGACAATTTTAACAATTCATTTATTTTAAGAAATCCGAGTGCCAACATAGTTGCAAAACCCGCTCACTAAAATGCTTTGTATGATTATTTTTATTACCTTTTTATTTGTTTTTAAGACTGATAGTGAGGAAAAGTAAAAGAGAAAATAAATCATCTTGCTATATTTATTACGTCAACATTATTTTAATTTAAACAGTAAAGAGGAAAGTTTAGCAATTCAATTTAAAAATTCTCTGGGAGTTATTTATACATTTTTTTACAGACGGCGAAATGAATAATGGCGCAAGGTCGCACAGTCATCTAGCTAGAAGGGAGCCTGAACTTTCTTTTAACGTAAGGAAACCTATTCGCTATATTATCCCATGTAAAACAAATTTAGATATAAAAATATCTAATTTATATGCTATACATGTGGACATATTAAATTTGGTCCCGAAAAAATAAAGAATAGTTTTTATGGGCTACTCAGGGCCCATAAAATTCAAGTGTCCTTAAAAGCACGCTTCAAACGGGTACTTTAGCTTATAATACGTGTTTGTATTCAGCGTTAATTGTTTTTACTCACAAGAATAAAAATGTATTATTACTAATTTAGAAGTCAAACAACAAAAATCAGTGTAAATTACGTTGATTTTTGTTGTTTCACTTCTAAATTAATATTTGTTCGGCGTGTTATTGTATCTTAATTGTATTATTACTGTTTCTCTTGGTCCGATGTTTGCTTATTCAACTTACTCATTTTAAAGTGAAAATTCGGAAACCAAATTATAAATATACAGTTTTTGATTAAGATTTGATCTAAGATCAGTGATTTCTAAAATCTTGGCTTTCCACTTTCCTGTCATAATATGTGTTATATTAGGTTATTCTATAACAAAACTGATTATTCATATGATTTCACAAAGTAACGGTTCTGATAGCTGTTGCTGATCTTGCAGCGAAACATCTTTAAGTTTTTTCAATTTTTAAAATTACGTTATGTAGCAGAGTAATAAAACAAAATATTTAAAAGCAATATATGTTCTTTTTATGTTTTTTACATTTTATATTTCAATCATATATGCGGTTGATGTAATTTATAGTTATCTAACTAAGTGACGTTTAAAAAATTCTGATGTGGACACCAGACTATTAAATTACACACATTTTTTTCTGTGCATCATTTAAACTTATTTCCTACAATTATTCTATTTTAATTAACCGATCCCACAAAGCAAGTTGAAAATGACTTAAAAAATAGCAAATTTTGACCCACTCTGATAGTATACAAACTTCTTTAATTTTATTTTTTAATAACGTGTATAAAATTTCCTCAAATATAGGAACCGGGAGATAGTATTAAAAGTTAGATTTCGTCATTTGTCGAAAATTATTTTTTTAAATTTAACATTGGCAAAAGATGACTATTTTTATCATTTACAACACTTCTGTAACTGGAAGCCTATAACTAGAACTGCGAAAATAAAGGCCGGGCGTGGTGTACATATATATATAGATATCACAAATGTTTAAAAACAAAATTATCCCAATATTATTTCTGCCCAAGGTTAATGCTTCTTACATATTTAACGGGATTTCATTTGTCTCATGTCTTAGTACATTTGGCTCTAAATTTCTTACGTTTTGGCTACATTTGGCACTGCCGATTTCAATAAAAAAGGAATTGCACATATTAGATGCAATTATCGTGCACAACGAAATGTTATACCAGTCCCATATACAACATTACAACATTCTATAGTTATTTTTTTGAGTTATACGAGATACATATATACGTACGTACGAACAAGTATCACGGAAAAAAAATCCGTTTTTAATCCATTTTAAATACTTTTTACAATCCGTTTTGGAAAAATGAGTCCTTTATTCTCTCAGCAAGAACAGACATTACGAAAAAATATCATCCAAACGTATTCGGTAACGGTCAAAATAGTTATTTCGGTTGAAATGCGATATCTGAAATGTTACACGATTGCACTGCTTCCTTTAATTCCTACAAGGAAGTAAATATATGTACTCTTAATAAAATAATTAAAAGATGTCTCTAATGTTATGTACTTTATTTCAAAAAATAATTTCAATGTCATATAGCAATTCTTTTACTCTCTTTTCATTTGTTCAATTTTATTTATTAAAGGAATTTTTATTTTTTCCTTTTAGTTTCCCATTTTCAGTTTTTGGAACTAATAAATGCCCCAATGTACGTAAAAGAAAAGCGGTAATGGAGCTCAGAAACACTTAAAATTCAAGACTGGTTCCCCCCTGATTTCAAATGCAGTGCAAATGATCTGATAGATGCCTTTTTTATCAAAGCAAATAAATGTTCTGCAAATTTATTGAGGTGTCAAAGAATGTGAATCATTATTCTTTTCCTTACTATTTAAAGCTTTATAAAAATAATCACAAAAATATTTTTGAACAAATTTTTAGACCATGTAAAAACAATTAAATACCTGTTTTTAGGCTTTTTATTAAATCATACTGTTTATATTAATTTGTTTAATTCTAGAAAGTTTTGTGTCTCAAGAAGTATTTTGTAAGTTTTATTGCGTTATTGCATGGGTTTGTCGTTGCTTTCTACTAAGTGATTTGTTGCAGAGTTATCCTTTTGTACTGTTATCTCGGTAATCTCTTCATCACGCTCACTTTCCTTTTAGAAAAAGTCAGTTTTATACCTAACAAAGACGGAGAGGTATGTCATAATTACTCAGACACTTGAAATTCAAAATATCTGTATCTAGGTTTGAAGCTGCTATGCGTAAACTGCAGTCCATTTGAATACTATCTTAATTTTATAACATTAAATATCATATATGGTATGAAAATGATATGATCATATCATTCCTATATAGTATGGAAAAAGCTTATAGAAATCTCACTATGATTTTTTTTCTTATTCTTAGATAACATATGAAGTGATGCGGAATCACTGATTATCGAAATCCACAGTTTTAACCCTTCCCACCTGCAAATATATCTGAATAAATATAAATATTGTCCATTTTTTATGGTACAGTTATATACTGACTTTAAGCCGCATTTAAAAAAAAAGGTCACATTGGAAATTAAAAAAAAAAGAGTACAATACACATTTTAGAATGATTTTATGAAATTTAACAATTCTTATTAGAAAACATTCATTATTTTCATTTGTTTGTAAGGATTATGTTAATTTTATTATCAGTTAAATTTTGAGTTAAACTTTTTTTCCTATCGATTCTTGCTTACCACTTCCGGCCAACAGAATCAGGTCTGAATATTAATGAAAAAGAGCGGTATGTAACGGCGAAGTTCTACAGTCTTAGTGAGAGAGATACCGGATATTCTGGCTGCACACGTCCGCCTTTTTAGGCTACTCTCTCGTAAGCTATTATTGCTCTCGGCCGTACTTTAGGCCCTTGATAGCTTCACAATTAATTAAAGGGCCAACTCTGTTAGAATTTTGATAGCTTCGGCTATATCTCTTTAGTTAAGATTAAGTTAGTTTAATTCTTAGTCTCTTAAGTTCAAGCCCAAGTGTCGGCTTTATTGTTAAACTTTAATTGGAATAATAAAGGATTATTTTACCCTTCTATCTTGTTGTTTCCTGTCACACGAACTCAAGCGATTTTTCACTTATCAGTTCTTAAGTTTCTTCACTTCCAACAGTAACTTAGAATTACACAGAGGAGAATCCTACATGTTTACAAAATTTGGCAATAATTTTCACACAGAAATTAAACAGAATTCAATCCGGATCAAATTCTAGTTAGTTCTGGTCCCTGATTCTGGTCAAAGATATTACAGTATAGTTTAATTACATTAAAGTATTTTTCAAAAAAAGGGGGGGAGGAAATAGTGAAGAAGTCATCTATAGTGTATTTTTGTAGAGTTCTTAATCATTTTTTAGAATTTAGTTGCAATAAAAAGCGTCTTTAAATGCGTAAGGTTGCCTCCAAGCCTTCCTACACATATCAAATTCTATCAGTTTTAGTTAATGTCCATTTCTTTTCGAAATGCTGAAAAGAATTAGTTCATATCTTTTTAATATTCTTCTTTCTGTCTTATTTAATTGATACTGTTACTGCTGATTTATTATTAAAAATTTATTTTATTTCATCTATTTAAGTAATTATTAAATGTTAATAATTATTTATGCAGAAATATAGCAGAATGACTTTGCTTCCTGAGCAAGAGAGATAAATAGCAGATTCTCTCGAAACGCATAGAGCTTTCCATTAAACTAAACATTATATGAAGCAAGGTTTTGCCTAATCTAAAAGTTAAAATTCAAGGCTTCTTTTTTCGTATGAGAAAGCATTAGGTTACTTGAATTTAACAGTAAATGAAACCGAAGTATTTTGTTCCATTTCACCTGAGGCAGGCAAAAACGACCTGATCCAAATTTGAAACTAACGATCGTTCTGTATTTCTCCTTCCTTAAAACCGCTGACCAATTTTTCCCCCTTTTTGCTTTTTGCGAGAAGAAAGGGATGAGAGTGCCGAAAGGTCAGTCGTTAGCATCTTCGATCATTTCGGGCAGAGGTGATGCGTTGGTTTAGTTTTAACTCTGCTCTCGAGCCATGTAAATGAATTCGTTTTTTCTGCAGCTGCAAGAATGAAAAACGAGTTATCATTCGATGGATACTTTGCTTAAAACAGTTCAAGAACCCGCGTTTCTGCCATCTGTGCATTGAAACAAGTGTAACCTCTTTCCGCATTATGGATGCGCATTTAAGGTCACATTTGAGGGGCGGGGAAGCTAAAGCTTGGCTAGAAAGTGCTTTAAGAATGGTAGTAAATAATATCACTCATTAAAGTTCATGGTTATGTGCTGTAGAAAACATTTGTTAGGAGAACAAAGTTTACCAGTCCTAATATTTGCTTTAGTTGATTAACTAAACTACAACTAGCAAATATCGGCCAATTAGAGCTTAAATCAACACAGTTGTTTAAAGACATAAAATAATTAAAACATTTATTAGCAACTATTTCCGCAGATTAGCAAAGTAAAAATAGCGATTTAAATGTTACTGCTTTTACTGTGATCGATAAACTACTGTTATTGCCCGTGATGTTGAAATATTTACCATCCAAATAACAATCTACTCAAGTCCGAAGGAATTTAAGTGTTAATTTACACTTCATCGAAGTTTTTAAGCTGCTGACTTAATTTAAACTAATACCAAAAATTCAGAATTTAACTGTTCATGCGGATATATTAGTATCATCTCTTTATGGAAATGCACTAGCATCAGAAAGTTCAAAGAGAAGATGTGTTGTCTTATAAGAAAGTATCACATTTTCTCATATGTGCATAAGTGATTAGCCGATTAAGCTAACATTTAAAGATCATAGTTTGAATCCAGAGGAGTACCCATTGATTTTTTATATTCCTTGTTTGAAATAATTTATAGTCTCCATAGTGGCGGCCAAAGTAAAAGGTTGATGGGCGAGAGTTGAATGGATTTCAAACCTTTTCTTTTCTTGGTAACCCTTTAAGTGGAGGAGAATGTAAGGAATAATCGCATTCTCAAGTGCGTCCTCGATTTTAAGTGCTTTGAAAGCCCAGCTAGCAGTAGGAGATAAGTGGTTTGTGAGAGATTTGATTTTTCACATTTCTTATTCCGAACAGGAGAAGCAATCTTATCGCTTAATAGGTAACTGTTATCCTAATTGTTTTCCGTAACTTTGTTGTCTGTATTAAAAGAACTGACTGTGCTGGGTGAACTGATATCTTAATTTTCGCTTAAGGGATTTGTATTATATGACACAGCAGCACTCACAAACTCTTCTGACTAGTTTCTGCTACTATAAATCATACACAAACCAGTGCTGCCTCTAGTTTTCCTAATAAGATTTAACATATCAGGACAATTTTCTGATCACGAAACATAGGGTGTTCAAAAAGGTGGTTACAGGCTTCATTTCTTATAACAGGAATCTTTAAGGAAATATGAATGGAAATATTTAAATGATGAATGAAGTCTACGAAGATAGAAAATTTTAAGAAAAGAGCTTGAACAATGTACGTAGCATATCTCAATAAAAGTAAAATTTGTTTATGAACCATGTAACGCAAAAAAAAAGTTTAATTAGCAAAGTGTTCATTAAGTTTTTACTAAGTTTAATGCAAAATGTTGCGTACTTTAAGTACAAAATGCTGGTAATCAATATTTTTAAGCAAGCTTTATAAATTTTATAACTCAAACTACTTCCGTATTAAATAATTTATAATTCTTTTCAGAAAACTTTTCCTTTCAATTGCTCCCTAAATTTTGGAGAATACTTAATTTTAGAATGAATATGCGTTGAAAAGTAAATGTCAACATCAAACAAGAAGTTCAGTCTGTTCTTTAAAAAACCTTCTTAAATTTTGTGTGTAAAGTTTATGGAATATTTTAATTTTTAACTTATAAAAGCATAAAAAATATTTTAGTAAGTTAAAATTTTAGCTTACGCAAACCATATAAAACGTAACAATTGGATACTCATGGAAATTTTCTATCCGCAGTGTCGAAATGCTTCTCATAAAATTCTTTACTTTAGTTTGATAAACACCATACTTGAAGCTATATGCTTATGATCGATATTCAATAAAATAAACCTTGCATCCACTTTTTCGAAGTCTATGAGCTAGGTTTTGCGTTATTTAAAAGAACCTTTTTTTAGGTTTTAGTCAGGTGATATTGAGGATGCAAGAAAAAGGGTTATTATCTGAGCTTATGATATTGACCGATGAAAGCAATAAGAGATAAATATTAAAAATAACTCGATAAAAGAGATGTATCTTAAACTGATATGAAATAAAGCTCTGGAAACATTATAATATCTTGCAGCCAGGACAATCAAATACAAACAAAACCACGATATTTATATCGCATAAGAGGCAAAGCAACTGTATCTTAATGTATGCATTCATAGGTAAATACACTAAGCATATATTAATATATTGTTGATATTCATAGTCACGAGAAAAGAACTATAATGACCATGTATATCAATAGGAACTGATATATCTTATTAGCATTTTGTCGAATTAACTGTTTAAGTATAAAGAGAATAATGAACATTATTCAGCTGTATCAAGATCAAAATAACTACATTAGATAAAGCTCAAAAAGGAAACTGTGGCTGTCTGATGAAGGAGACAAGATTAAAAAATGACGTTTCCGTCTTAATAAAAAGGTTTGGACTGAGAAGGAAAGTCTTCAAACTGGTTATGTCAGAATTGTTTTGTTCTCCTGTTAGAATTTCGTAACTTTTCAGAGGATGATAACGCTATTTTTGTTTTCTTGTCTTTTTCTTTTTCTTTTTTTTT